GCTAGTGCAAGCCCTCGTCCCCACCTCCCATGCAAGTCCTGCCTTTAGCTTTCTCCTCAACTTGCCTCGTTCTCCACTAGCTAACTGGTATTTGATCTGCTGTGTGAAAGTGGGAGGAGGCAGGACAGCTAAGGGGATAGGGCAATTCTGTTTTGATAGGATTGGTCTATACAACTGGGTCTGATAGATGGGTGTTTTTGTGCTTTTAGAGGTTCTTTGGAGATTCCCATCATTGGAGACCTCTTCCTTGAGTGCCTTTGGTCTAGACAGACATTAAGTGCTTACCTACAACAACCTCTGTAGATTCTAGGATTCCTACATTCAACTCTAGCTTCTGGTCACTGGGTACCTCTACATCTCTAGTCAAGTCTTTTGAATGGGCCAACAGGACTAATGCTGACTGTCCTCTGTGTGGCCCACATCAGGTCCAAGAAAACATGTGCACATTTGTCATCCCTACCTAATCTGGGAGTGCTGGTGAATCCCAGGGCTGTCACCTCTAGTTTATGGCCACTGCCTTCTTTAATTTATATGCAAGAGTCAGAGCAATTCTCTGTGTTTTACAACTATGAAGAACAATTCCCAGACTCTTGGGTTCCACAGAGCCCCTCGTTAGGCTTGAGAAGATGTGGCACCAGCACCACCTCATTCTGGATGCAATGGGAGCAGGATCTGAACAAAACAAACACAAGAAACCTCTCCACAGACCCTCTCTCTCTCTGCTGTCTTGATCTGACCACAAAGGAGAACTGTTCTTCAACATCAACTTTGTACAGAAAATTTTAGTTGAAATATAGTGATCTTTAATTGCCACTGACTGTTCTCAATCCTTGGTAATAAGGAAATATGTTTCTCCATCTCTGTCCCACCTGCATTGCTGAGCTCAGAGCCTGGAACAAAGTAGGTGCCCAATAAATGTTTGCTGAATATATGAATGAAAGGGTCTGAAACCACCTTTGATTTTGCAGTGGATTCTCAGTGACTCTATAAGATAGAGTCTTTTATACATGTATTTTATACATCTATAAAATAATACATATGGATGGGCTATTTTTCACTCCCTGGCAGACTAAGCATCCCTAATTCATACGATGCTGGGTGTTTCCCAGAATCTGTATACTTTAGCATTTAGCAACCAAGAAATTTTAATGAATGAGATAATGACCGGGGGAAATTTTCATCTTTTTTCAAGGAAGAAATGGATACATAAATGAGATAGTTCAGGTTTTTAGAAAACTTATGGGATGTCAAGTCAAACCTCAGAAAAGATTTCTCCTAAAGCTGTGGGTACTATGGATATTATTTGAGTGGTTTATTTCAAAACCCTCAGTTCAGTTCAGTCGCTCAGTCTCTCAGTATCCGACTTTTTGCCACCCCATGAATTGCAGCATGCCAGGCCTCCCTGTCCATCATCAAAACCCTAGATCTGGACAAAACAACAAAGAAAAACAAAAAGTAGATTTAAAATATCTAGCAAAAATGTTAATGTGTACTGGCAGATGGGTACTGTCTTACTTGTAAGGTGCTTTTAGAGGTTCTTGAACATAGGTGATGATATAAAGAGTTCATCATTCTATTCGACTTAGCTTTTGTGTATGCTTGAACATTTTCATAATACAAATAACATTTAAAAATGAAAGCTTGGAAACAGCAGACTTTAACGTGTTTTGGAAAGTAGGTAAAATTATTTTTTTTTAAAAAGACAAAAATGGAACAGAAACTATATAGATTTTACCATCTTACAATTAAGCTTTCATGGGTCCTATTAATACCCACCTTCCAATGCAGAAGACATAAGAGACTCAGGTTTGATCTCTGGGTTGGGAAGATACCCTGGAGGAGGGCATGGCAACATACTCCAGTATTCTCACCTGGAGAATGTCCATGGACAGATGAGCCTGGTGAGCTACAGTCCATGCTAAGTCGCTTCAGTCGTGTCCAACTCTTTGCAACCCCATGTACTGCAGTGCTCCAGGCTCCTCTGTCCATGGGACTCTCCAGGCCAAAATACTGGAGTGAGTTGCCATTTCCTTCTCCAGGGCTACAGTCCATATGGTCGCAAAGAGTCGGACATGACTGAGCAACTTAGCACACATGATAGCCATGAGGCTGTTCTTATATGGGCTAAGGGGTAAAAATTTGGAAGCAGGATTTTTTTTTTTTTTTTTGCTTAGGAATTAGGCAGCTTCAGAACTTATAGAAATAAAAGGATATTTAGAGGTTATTTCTGCCAATGCTCTTACTTTTCAAATTAGAAAACTGATACCCAAACAAATGGAATGAAATGACTGTGAGTCTTAGAACCAGGACACAGACCTAGGTCCTCTGTACTCCAGCTTCTCTTCCTACCACCCTGGTTGGCACGTAACTTTGAACAAGAGCTGCCAAAGCATAAAACCTTTGAAAAGGGATGGATCCCACCCTTCAGAAGCAGTACTTTCATTTGCTGGGTCCATTTTTGCTGTGAACAGGTGGGGACCTTCTGCTTTTGTGCACTGGCTTCTCTGAAAAAGAATGGTGGATCTCCTAGAGCTAGATTCAATAAGATACGAAGGCCTGAACGGTAGGATAGTTATGCGGCTTGTGCTCTACTTGAGGAAGGTATGAGTGGTGCTGCGGAGAGTATCACCTTACTGGATCTCGAGAGAGAAGCTTGACAAGCCTGGGCTCACAGCATCATGGAATGGAGTGTATCACAACTCTGCTTCTTACCTCATTAATTCCTCAGCCAAATAGGGGTGAAAGGAGTTAAAGGTAGAATATGCCATTGGGTTATTCATGTCAGTCAACACAGTTCTGGATACACGGAAGGGCGTTTAAGAGCTTAAACAAGACATGCATCCGTAGGTGGATAGATTTTTCCTGAGACATTGCCTGCTGGTGGAAGGATAGGTTCACAGAACGAACTCCCCCATTTTGGGTCAGCACCAACACAGATATCTCTTGCCCCTGTGTTTGGAGGCTAAACCTTCCTAGGGCCTGGTTTGATCTCATTGCAGTCCAAGGGATTCTCAAGAGTCCTCTCCAACACCACAGTTCAAAAGCATTGATTCTTTGGTGCTCAGCTTTCTTTATAGTCCAACTCTCACATCCATACATGACCACTGGAAAAACCATAGCTTTGACTAGACAGACCTTTGTCAGCAAAGTAATGTCTCTGCTTTTTAATACGCTGTGTAGGTTGGTCATAACTTTCCTTCCAAGGAGCAAGCGTCTTTTAATTCCATGGCTGCAGTCACCATCTGCAGTGATTTTGGAGTCCAAGAAAATAAAGTCTGTCACTGTTTCCATTGTTTTCCCATCTATTTGCCATGAAGTGATTGGACTGGATGCCATCATCTTAGTTTTTTGAATGCTGAGTTTTAAGCCAGTTTTTTCACTTTCCTCTTTCACTTTCATCAAGAGGCTCTTCAGTTCTTCTTTGCTTTCTTGCCATAGGGTGGTGTCATCTGCATATCTGAGATTATTGATATTTCTCCCAGCAATCTTAACTCCAGCTTGTGTTTCATCCAGTCCAGCATTTCTCATGATGTACTCTGCATAGAAGTTACAATATACAGCCTTGGCGTACTCCTTTTCCAATTTGGAACCAGTCTGTTGTTCCATGTCCAGTTCTAACTGTTGCTTCTTGACCTGCATACAGATTTCTCAGGAGGCAGGTAAGGTGGTCTTGTATTCCCATCTCTAGAAGAATTTTCCACAGTTTGTTGTGATCCACACAAAGGCTTTGGCGTAGTCAATAAAACAGAAGTAGATGTTTTTCTGGAACTCTCTTGCTTTTTAAATGATCCAACAGATGTTGGCAATTTGATCTCTGCTTCCTCTGCCTTTTCTAAATCCAGCTTGAACATCTGGAAGTTTGTGGTTCACATACTGTTAAAGCCTGGCTTGGAGAATTTTGAGCATTACCTTCCTAGAGTGCAGTTGTGCAGTAGTTTGAACATTCTTTGGCAATGCCCTTCTTTGAGATTAGAATGAAAACTGACCTTTTTCAGTCCTGTGGCCACTGCTGAATTTTCCAAATTTGCTGGCATATTGAGTGCAGCACTTTAACAGCATCATCTTGTAGGATTTGCAATAGTTCAACTGGAATTCTATCACCTCCACTAGCTTTGTTTGTAGTGATGCTTCCTAAGGCCCACCTGACTTCGCAGGGTGTTTGGCTCTAGGTGAATGATCACCTAGATAACCATTGTGGTTATCAGGGTCATGAAGCTTTTTTTTGTATAGTTCTTCTGTGTATTCTTGCCACCTCTTCTTAATATCTTCTGCTTCTGTTAGATCCATACCAGTTCTGTCCTTTATTGTGCCCATCTTTGTATGAAATGTTTCCTTGGTATCTCTAATTTTCTTGAAGAGAATTCTAGTCTTTCCCATTGTATTGTTTTCCTCTGGTCTTCACATAATCTCATTCAATTTCCTTGAAACTTTCTCAAGTAAACATATGAATTTAAAACAATGTAGTTAATACCTGGCTACAGTTTCAAGTCAATTCCCCAGACTCACTCCCAATCAGTGGAGAAAGAAATGGCAACCCACTCCAGTATTCTTGCCTGGGAAATCCCATGAACAGAGGAGCTTGGCAGGCTACAGTCCATGGGGTTGCAAGAGTTGGACACGATTTAGCAACTAAACCACCACCACTCCCAATCAGAGGGCTAGCCCTAAACCCTTCTTCCACAGAGCTGCCAATAACCAAGTATTCCCAGGTGGCTCAACTGGTAGAGAATCTGCCTGCAATGCAGGAGACACACCTAGACACCAGTTTGATCTCCAGGTAGGGAAGATCCCCTGGAGGAGGGCATGGCAACCCGCTCTAATATTCTTGCCTGGAGCAGACAGGACTGAAGCGACATATGAGGCATGCCAATGACCAAAGCAGCCTTTAGTCCCAGAATCTGGTATTGGTGGCTTGCAAATTGAACACTGCCTGTTGTTTCTAAAATTTTTCTTTGAAACAAATATTGCCAACATTTGCAATTCACATTTTTTAAATCTAGGTTTCATCTCCTTTTGAAAAACTGAACTATCTCACCATAGCAGAGTGGTAGGAGGTGGGGGACACATTTCGGCCCAGAAAAATTCTTTTTGAGTTTGAAACTCAGAAGCCTCGCTGAACCTTTCCAGTTCGCCATTTCTTCACCGATAAACAGAATTTTCTGGGCCCTGCTTCACTCTCAACTGGTAAAGTACTGTTTCTCTGAGTAAGCTTTGGGGAGTGGCTGAAGGGTAGATATAGTACTTAGCCTGTGTGGGCTGCTTCACTCTATGCATGGAACACTACGTGCCGCTTGCTTCAAAATGTTTTATGTTTTGCACGGAAAATTCTTCACTCGGAGGTGTCAGCATCTCTGGTTGGGGAAGGTTAATGTTAAGCATGTACATGTTTTTTTCAGCCCTCAACATTTGGACTAGTACTCCTCTTGAGTGCTTGTTTATCTTTAATATAGTTTCTTTGAGAGAGAGTGGACAATGCTCGGAGAAGCATAAATACGTTCCAATATTTTATGAAAATGCTGTCAGTCTCTTATTTGCCAAAGACACTTCTCACTAACAGCTTAGTCTCCAAACCAACAGATTCAGTGTCGCGAGTTTGGGAATAATCTGGAAAAGGGGTTTTCAGGTCCGATTATCAGATGGGGACAGTGGGAGACAGCGGAGGATTCGGATAAACTCATTGCAAGCCTGGTCCACGGAGGCACAACACCCGCCAGAGTCGGGCCAACAGCCGGCAGCTAATGAGCTCTTTGCCCACCACCGCCACGGACCGAGCCCCGCAGGTGCAGCCGAAAGCGCCACATTGCGCCTGCGCAAAAGCCTTTGCCGGGGCTAGAAAGTAAACTGATTAAGCCACGGTTTGGCGGAAGCGGCTTCGCAAGTCTGCGCAGGCGCGTTCCGCCTTCGGACGGTGGTCGGTGCGCAGGCGCGCACCCCAGTCGCCCAACCTGTAAACAGAGCAGCCCTCGGGAGACAACTTCTGCTTCCGGGTCACGCCTTGACAGCCGCTTTCACCACCCAGGTCAGTCCCACGGTTTGGTGAGTGTCGCCCCGCTGCAGGAATGTCTGCAGTCAGGTTTCCTAACCTCGATCACCACGCCCAGTAACACTTCCACTCCCCGCTCGCGCTCTGCGAGCCCTCGAGGCTGGGATTTCGTCCCGGGCCTTAAGGAGATCGGGGCGGGGATTGGTTCGCCTTTGGGGCTCCCCGGCAGATTTCGTGACCCCATTTAAGTACCGGCCCCGCGAGACCTGCTGGGATTGCTGTGGTCTTTGCGGAGCCCGTGCAGAAAGTGACACCACACGTCTTCGCCCTCCGCCCCCTAGACTCGGCGAGACCTAGCTGCCGCGAGCCCTCCCTGCTGGTGCGGTGGGGCGGGGGCGCGCCTGGCAGGGTCGCGGGCCTCCCAGCCCGTGGGCGAAAGCCCGGCCTCCCTAGCACCAGAGCTGCTGAATGTCGCCTCTCCCCTCCTTTGCTGCTAGCTTAGCATTAAGAAAAACCCCTTGGTGTTTTCTTCGGATCCGAAGTGGAAGAAAATGGGAGAGAGGGAGCTTTCTGCTCCAGCAGAAGAAAGGGGGCACATAGGGTCAAACCGTGCACAGGCTGCTGCCTGGCTATATGTCGAGTCTAGATTTCGTGATTCTTCCGGACAGTGAATGTTGTCAATGTGCCCCGAAGTTTCACTCTTCAGCAGGAGCTTTGAGGCAGCCGCAGAGGACTAGTGGTCGTATTCTGAGTTAGGATTTCTTAGCCTGGAGTCCAAGAGAGCTCCGAAAATGATTGCAAGGGTCTAGTATTTTTTTCTTTTTTTTTTTCAGATTTTCATGACCCAGAAATGGTTAACAGAACCACTTCGGGCTATGCCTTCCACTTTGGATGCTCTGTTCTTGGAATCGCTGACTTAAAATGTATCTGTACCTTTTCCCCTTTTTCCTTGCAACAGAGAAGTGTAAGATACAGACTCTTGTCTCTGAGGAGTTTCATGGCCGTTGCAAAGATTAAAACGTATTCCAAGTCTAAGCTATTTGGAAAATTTCAGAGAGGCATATAAACAAGTGTGTAAGCTTATTTATTAAGAATAAATAAGCTTTGTTCTTAATAAAGTAGGGAGAATACCCTAATTTGAATCACTGATACCTATGAATTGATTTTTAACTTCCATTAATTAATGCTATATATATTTTAGACAGATAAATGGCTACCCAGTAGCAAGATGGAAGAGTTTATAGTATTATTACATAATACATAAGGGAAGAGTCCATCACAAAAGTTACATAGTATGAAATGACCAAAATAATTTTAGTGTTTTTCCCTTAGTAATCATCATATGCATAAGATGTCTAATTACTGCAAGTCTTAAATTTTTCTAGGGTCCTAAGTAATAAGCTTTACATTGACTCAACAAATATTTATTGAGAACCTGCTGTGTGCCAGGCACTATTAAAAATAATGCTGTATTTACCAGCAAGGAGCTTATGGTTTGACAGGATCATGGATTCCTAAATGGTTATACCTAGCGAGCACACCATGTTTTCTTTACAGTTTTTGACATATGCTTTTTCATAGAAATGCTCTGCCTTCTTTGCTGTAATCTTAAATGTTCCCCAATTAACTTGGTATATGGCTCTTAGATAGCCAAAACTTTTTATCATAGTTGAATTTAAGTATTGTTTTGATTGTGTTGTGTTAGTCACTCAATTGTGTCTGACTCTTTACCACCCCATGGACTGTAGCCCACCAGGTCCATGGAATTCTCTAGGCAAGAATACTGGAGTGGGTTGCCGCTCCCTTCTCCAGGAGATCTTCCAGACCCGCAGATTCTTTATTGCCTGAGCCAATATTGCATTATTTTCTTATTCCAACACAGAACTCAGGGCTACTTCTCAGTTGTCACAAATTGCCAATTATTAAATTTTTAAACTTTTTTCCTAATATTATATAGAGGATCCCAGAGTAATTATACTTTGGCGTTCCTTCCTTATTTTAGAATTTCACCTCAAAAACTTCTCATTTTTTTTCTTCGCTAAAGACATTTTAAACTATTTCACAGATGGCTTGTCATCATTAACATAAATGCATCTGTTCTGTTTCTTCTCAGAGGTAATAATCACTCCTCTACCCTTTAGTCAATCAACCAGTATTTATTAAATACCTACTTTTTGTGAGACTCTGTGGCTGGCCTGAGATGGTCTAAGAAAGTAGAAGACAAGAACCTTGCCTCTCAATTGATTACAGTTTAGATGGACAAACAGTATGACCATAACTGTACTGCAAGGTCAAATGTAACAAGTAACCTAAAGGGGGTGCTGATAATAAAGAGCACCTAATTCAGAGCAGGAAAACAGACGTTTTGTGAAATCCTTCGCCTTTCCAGGGATCCCTTTTCTGGCTTGGTCTTTTTTAAACCAGAAAGAGCTCCACGGGCAGCTTGGAGCCTTTGGGGAAGTCCTGTGCTAGACGAGGTCAGAGAGTAGAGCCAGGGTTTCCAGGGTCAGAACCCTTTTGTCCAGTTTACCCAGCTCCCTCAGCAACTATCATATTCTCCTTCTTGTGATTAGGAAAAATGGTATTAATGAGTCATTGACTCTTTGAAATCTGGTTTTAGTAGTGGGAAGGCCTTGGAGAACCTCTAACCCTAAGAACAGGTGTGCTCAGTGGTATTGTGTATGCCTAAAACATCTTTGTTTCAGGCAGTTTGGAGCATGTGAACGTACTCGGAGCCTTGATGAGTTCCAGTATGTGGTATATTATGCAGAGCATTCAGAGCAAATACTCTCTCTCAGAGCGCTTAATCCGAACAATCGCTGCCATTCGCTCCTTCCCACACGACAATGTAGAGGACCTCATCAGAGGGGTGAGTGTGCTGGGCTGACGCAGGGGTCCTTGGGGGGGTGAGGTGGGAAAGTTCCTGGGGAATCCTGACGAATTACAGATTTTCAGCTCTGACTCACCACAAGATGACAGGGAGTTTTTTACAGTTTTTACAATATTCTAAAATGTATTAACTTGACCATTAACGTATGTTTTGCTTCTCTTCCCTTCTGCCTTTCACTTTGTGCAAATGATATTTTTCTTTGGGAGTTATGTTCTAGATAACCCTAGTTTTGTGCTGTTTGTAATATCTCTGTCTGGGTATGGTGCATAAGGGATCCAGCAAGCTCAAATTCTTCTACACATGTTGTACTAAGGGAGGAAGGTGGCAAGCAAAAGCATTAGTGGTTTTAAAACCCTTGTAGTTTATAATAATAATTAAATGGAGAGATATCACTGGCCTTCTATCCTAACTACAGCTACCACTTACAGTTTTATAGAGATTACCAGTCCCTAAAATGCATGGTAATTTTTGACTTAAGGAAACACTTTAGCTGTCTGCTGTCTAACCAGTACTATTCTGTACTTCTGTTAAATGGCTAGTATCCTTGAGGAGAGTTGATGCTTTTCTGTATATCATTCCTGTTGAAGTTACAGGGTAATTTTTTTTTTATCTCTAGAGAATGCATCCAGATGGCTACTTCTATACATTCTTTTGAACAACTCTAGAATCCCATTTAGAGCCTAGAGCTCTTTAGCTGCTTCAGAGTTGTGTGGCACAGCTGTGAGAAGAAAAGTCAGACAGCATTAGCTTGTTCTCAGCAAAAGTGGTATCAGAAGACTCAGCAGTAGAAACTTTGTCACATTCTAATTCCAGCTCTGCTGCTGAGTCATTCTGTGACTTTGGTCGGACCATGGTGTCTCCAGCTCCTTCATCAGATGTGAAACAGAGGTACCAGTGGGGGCTAGGTGGCAGAGAATGCTGATACCAAGGGGCCACTTAGTTTATAGGTATATGCTATATATGTTTATAAACAAAGACATAACATTAAGAAGATGTTACTGTTGGTGACGGTCATCTGTCAGATGGCAAGAAGAGCATGCCAGTTCTGGCTTCTGTCAGAAAGACACGTTCCTGACTTTTCCAGCTTTCCTGCCTGGTAATAAGGTTCCACTGCTTTTACATACAAGGTTATGTCCTTAGTGATGTCCATCCCCATGGCCATCTTTCAGGCTAGCTTGTGGAGAAACTTAATGACTTGATAAAGGCATCGACAGTTCCTTTTATTCATCTTCAGTGTATTCTCTTGGTTTGGATATTGGCATTGTAATTTCATTTAATTAATAGGAATAGGCACTGGGGCTGGTAGTATATTTACAATACAGTCAGAGTTAGACCCTGTCCCCACCGCCACCCCCACCCCCGACATTGATCTGAGTCTTGTCCTATATGGTGAACTGGAGCTGAGCACACCAACTGAAGTTTCCTTTGTCCATAGGGAGCAGATGTGAACTGTACCCACGGCACGCTGAAGCCCTTGCACTGTGCCTGCATGGTGTCCGATGCGGACTGTGTGGAGTTACTGCTGGAAAAGGGAGCTGAGGTAATGTTTTTTAACGCTGTCACATCAGTGATTCACTAAAACTTGGGCTTCACACTTCCTTAAAATGTTTCGTCTCTTCTCGTATCTCTTCCCACCTTCTTGCTCCCACCTTCTAGGTAACTTTGGTGTGGCCAATATTCAAACAAAATGTAATGGTAAATCATCCAAAGTACTTCATTCCATTGCCTTTCTTTCATACACTGACCATGGCTCCGGGAAGAGGGAATTTTTATCTCCCCTTAATCTCCCTACCTTCCTTCTGGGGTTGTTTATATTTCTATTTAATCCTCTTTTGACTGTTCAGTCCCCTCAACCCTGATTCAATCTAAACCACTTGAGACCTGCCACCAGGGTGCACTTCTCACGTGTCTATCACTGGAAAATAAATCAGTGGGTCAGTCCCTTCCTCGGAATTGAGTTACCTGTGCTCTTTCTGCCCATTCATTTTTTTCTGTTTTACCATATCTTGTTATCTTCTTTCTGATGTATCTTAACATAAAAAAAAAAAAGATTAACTTTTATTGGCATTAGCAAGAAGCAGCATAGTATAATGAATAAAAGAATAGAGAGTCTGGACCCAGACTTCATGGATTTGAATTCCACCTCTGTCACTTCCAACTTTGTGATCTTGAACAGGTTACTTAACCTTTCTTTGCATCAGCTTCCCCATCTGTAAAATGAGGATGATAAATGGTGTGTTCTTCATAAAGTTGAAACTGTTTAGAACACTGGCATGTAGTAATTATTATACTAAGTGCCTGTTAAATAAATAAAGTAGCAGTTTTGACAGTTTTTGTGGCATCTTCAGGGTGCACAGGTTGAGGCAGTCATTTGAATCAAAGATGCCATGAAGCAGGTGTGCAGGCCCCAGACATGCTGGTGGGTAAGCCTGTTCTAGCCCCCAGCATCCCCACCTCCACACAACCATGCTGTTCTCTGCCTGTCATGAACTATCCTGTAACTTTTGTGAGTGACCCTGAAGTGAAAGCCAGTGATTAATAGCAGTGATGAAAGTGAGACTATCCCCAGGGTGAGGGGCCAGTTTTTAGCTAATAGAAGGTAGAACTCAGTTAAATATTTCAATTGTGGGTTTTTTTAAGTGCATTTTATGGGGGAGAAAATTCGCTATTTAAACCTAGGATGTAAATTAAATCTATGTAGCCTCCAAATATTATAGGAGATGCTGAGTTTATCAAGCCAGTGGCTTTTCACCATCAGAGGATTTGTGCTTTTTCCTCGGTATGTTTTCCTCCAGGTTCTCTCGTGACCCCACAACATATGTTTGCAGGGGGCTGACTTGGATGAATAGTTCTGAGCTGCTCTGTGTGATTAAAAAACACCGCAGAGCTACATGGGCAGAACCTTGACTTTATTACTTTTCAGTCTGGTTGCCATTAGCCACAGGATACAGAGTGAGTTAGGATAAGTAGAATAATCCAGAACCTTTACTCTGACCAATATGTTCAAGCTGCCTTCCAATAAATGTCTTTCAGAGTAGTTACAAGGACTTAGACTTCTGTTTCTTCCCCCTTACTGTGTGGTCGAGGTCCTAGGGAACATTAAATAAGAATGTGGCAGCGAAACCCTAGATGATGCAGGTCAGCTAACCAATGGACATAATAGAGTGTTGGTTGTTTGGGGACTATTGTTCTCCTACTTGCTTCTTAGCTCCATCCTGATCACAGCTCCCTGGGAATTGCTTGTTGACCAGCATGTTCAGAAAATGACATAGCAAAGATAGTGGATAGGAACATGCAAGCCTCTTTGCCCGCCCATCGTCCATACACTGTAATATAGTCGCTCCCTCTTCACAGGTGAATGCCCTGGATGGTTACAACCGAACAGCCCTCCACTATGCAGCCGAAAAAGATGAGGCTTGTGTGGAGGTCCTGTTGGAGTATGGTGCAAACCCCAATGCACTGGACGGTAACCGAGACACCCCACTTCACTGGGCAGCCTTTAAGAACAATGCTGAGTGTGTGCGGGCCCTCCTAGAGAGTGGGGCCTCTGTCAACGCCCTGGATTACAACAATGACACCCCGCTCAGCTGGGCTGCCATGAAGGGAAATCTTGAGAGCGTCAGCATCCTTCTTGATTATGGTGCAGAGGTCAGAGTCATCAACCTAAAAGGCCAGACCCCCATCTCCCGCCTAGTGGCTCTGCTGGTCAGGGGACTTGGGACAGAGAAAGAGGACTCTTGCTTTGAGCTCCTCCACAGAGCTGTTGGACACTTTGAATTGAGGAAAAACGGCACCATGCCACGAGAAGTGGCCAAAGACCAGCAGCTGTGTGAAAAGCTGACTGTTCTGTGCTCAGCCCCCGGGACTCTCAAAACACTCTCTCGCTATGCTGTGCGCCGGAGCCTGGGACTCCAGTATCTGCCGGATGCCGTCAAGGGCCTTCCTCTGCCAGCTTCTCTAAAGGAATACCTGTTGCTTGTAGAATAGCCTGGAGGAGACATCAGGCCGGCAACTCTGCATAAGGTTTTGCCCTGCAGCACCGTCTGTCTTGGAAAACAGGGAAAACAGTTGTTCCTGTTGTGTGGTTTATATTTCAAAGCAACATGTCACAACAGTAACCTTCACATCACCTCCCCTCCCCAAACCAAGCAAACAAAAAAATGTCCCTCACTTTTGTTTCTGTTTCTTGCTTACTGGGCCTTTTATATTGCACCCTGCAAAGAAAGAGGTCTCCCCAACCCTCATTAGGGAAAGAAATCAACAGTGAGACTGAATTTCTCTGGGCAGATGAAGAGTATTTATAGCATGTGCATTTAGTTTGCCTTTGGGAACATGATTAACTTTCGGAAGAATCCCTCTAGAAACATTTTAATTGATCTGCGAAGAAGTTTAAGAAAACTCCAGCTAACAGCTGCAGCCCAAAGATGAAGATACTACCGCCTCAGATGGTGCACAGGTTCAGAACTGGGCCGAATGTCCCTAGAATCATCCCCAGGCATTCAAAAGGGACTGGCCCCTTCTTTCTCACCACTGAAGGGAAGGGAGTTTTTGCTGCTTTTCCATGAGTGTGCCCAAGGCTTACAGTAGTTCAGCAATGTTATTTTAGAAAGATTATCTTGCTGCTCTCCATGCAGTAGAAGAGATAGGAGGTTCTAAGCAGTCCTAAGAACTTTTCTTCGAATGCAGTTCTTTCTCTTCCTGACAGCCAGTTTGTGCTAGTGGGCTTGGCAGGCTCTTCCCGCACCCACCATTGAGGGAGGTGTCTGCTGCTGCAGGGGAGGACATGAGCGGCTGCCTTTTCTCATGGGTCTTTCATTCACTCTGCTGAGAGTTTGGAGTTTGTTTTCAGTTGTTTTGGAAACTTTGCTTTTTACTGATCTACACAAAAAGACATTGGTGGTGTGGGTGGAGTTGGGGAGTGGGGGAAGAGCACTTACAAGAGCTTTCTCTGAGATGACCCACCTACCCAAAAGAGATCTGTTTTAGTGAACAATACTTAGTCTAAGTACTCTTCCTCTTCATGTTCCTAAGCTAGATCAAGTTGTTGATTCTAGATGACCTTATGCAAATGTGAAAGACTTTTTTTTTTAACTGATTGGGAACTATAAATAAAATGAACAGAATCTGCTGACACAGCTAATTTGAAAAAGTATGTCTGCTTTTGTCCTTTTGTTATTGGTGTTTTTTGCTCACGTAAGGAAAAGAAATAAAAAGGTCTAAAAGCAAGTTTGGAAATTTCTGCTGTTCCTACTTTTCTCTACGTTATCGCCCTGAGCCCCAGTGTCCTTATCTCTGAGGCTGTCACACCACCTGTATAAGCTGTTTTGAAGAATCAGTGATAATGGTGCTTGATATTTATTAATTTCTGTTCCCCTTAAAGAACTGTACAGAGAACATTTGGCTGCTTTAATTAATGTTGGACTCTGACAAGACTTCTCGGTCATCTTTTAGAACTGTTTCTAGGGGGTAGCAATTATACTTTGGACAGCCAGCAAAAGTGAAGTACTAGATAGTCCTTTCCTCTGTTCCTCCAAAAACCCCAAACCTTCCTGCTTCAACAAGAAAGTGAGGAAGCTGTGTTAGTGGGAGAGATATGTATGCTTGTGCCAAGAGCCAGGATCTGATTCTTGGAGACTAATCTCAAACCTCTCATTGACAGGGCAGCATCCCATCAGCTCAGGGCGCAGTATGTAGACCCAGTCCTGAGGACCAACTGTATTACATGGGCACTTGCTAATGATGAAGCGTGGAACAGAAAACAAACTGAGCTGAACAAGAACTCATCGTTTTCCAAAGCAGTATTTCAACCAACCCACCAAACTAGGTCCAGAATTGAATGTCTCTGTTTTCCAGGCATTCAAAATGTACATGTCACCCCACCGGGATGGAGTCTGGCTTTCATCCAGGAAGGAGCACAGAGGGGAAAGTTGAGAAGGAAGAACCTTGGATTGTCAGAGTAGAGATTAGGGAATGGCTGGAAAAAAAGCAAAGTTGGGTAATGGGTGTATGATGAAGAGGTAAAACATAACTTTATGCTTAGGGAAGATGGGAGTGCCCTTGGCTACAGAGGATGCGGGAGGGACCGCTTGTGGGATGAGGGCGAGGATGCTGTCCTGTGTTCTGGGACCCTGCGTACAGAGTCAAGAGAGTCCAAGAATAGAAGTACACGGGGTGAGCACATGGGCTGCCTTTTCCCGGGTGTCCGTGTGGGCAGAGTCCATTGCTTGGGGCTGACAGGAATGCACTTGTGAAGATGATAAGAGGAGAATCCAAAGCACAGTGACCAGTTGGCATTTATTAGTGTAGTTATGGTGTGTCGCTGTCCTAATAGTCGTAGAGGAACCATGACTTTGTTATCACAAAGAAATAAATAAAGCTTATTTTTAGGAAAATTCTAACCGAGTAACTGAAATCGAGCAGTAGTACTAGAGGAATCCAGCCTTGTGTGACATGGGAAGCTGGGGTCGAAGTCAGGAGAAATTCTACATACAGGGAGCATCCACTTATGGCCCCTGCCCCAGCTCCCTGGCTAGAGCTGCGATGGCTGCAGTTACAGAATAAAAGGAAACCTAATGGAAAATGAGCTGAAACATGTGAGAATACACGGACTTGGATCTCTTGGGGTGAGCTGACCATGATCAGACAATCCGTTCCTCTCTCTGCAGAGAGGCTTAGACGTTAGCTTCTCCGGACCGCTTCCGAGTGATGTGCTCCAGGTGGGCATGCTCTGAGGTATCCAAGTCAATCTCGTACTTGGCGAGGATCTTGAGGATAGGCCTCAGCTTCAGCCACCACTGTTCCTTGGGGATGCGGTGCCTACAGAGGAATGAGGTAGATGATGATTTAATCTTCAGCACCCCAATCAACTTCTATCCGAGGCTATAGGAAGAAGGGGAGCAGCAGAGGCTGAATTTGGGACCTGAGCATCAGATCTTAAGTAGGTATGACTACAGGTGTTAATCCTAAGAAAAAAGGACTGAAGACCTGAACAGCCTGGGAAGAGTAGATCTCAGCAACTACTGGGGAGGGACCCACCCCAGGAAGCAGATGTACTCACTCAAAATCCGTCTGTTCCTTCAACTCAGTCACTGGTTGGAAGACCAGGGCCCTCTTACGCATCCCCAGCACACAGCCTGAGTCTGGGGTATTGGCAAAGATCCTCCCTGCAACAGGGATAGTCAGTCAGCTTCTATGCTGGGAACCGGCCTCTAGGAAAGCAGCTCGCCCTCTTATCCCACCTACCATTACGGTAACTCTCTTTGATTTTCCCTGACATCCAGTTCATAGCCTTTGCACCCATCTTAGTGGCAAAATTTCTGTCGAATGGAGTTGGGCTCCCACCCTGGAAAAAGAGTGATAAAAATTACAAGGGGCAGGACTCTTAAGGCAAAGACACGCTAATACACAGAGAAAAATGAAAGGATGGGTCTCAGGTTTATAACCAGAAACAGGAATCCAGAAGTCTAACTATGAAAGGAAATCCTGAAACCGGGCAGGGAACCAGGGCGCACTGGGCTGGCACGTCTGGCAGTTTATCAGCTCTAGGAGTAATTAGTACGAGGGAATGCCTGGTCTCCCAGTTGCCTCTTCTAGCTCCATGGCTGCATGACCCTGTTCATTTACTCCTAATCTTACTGGCCTCTTGGTCAGCTCCCTGCCCTTCACTAGCCTAGCAGCTTTTGTCAGTCACTATCGATGAACAAGTATTCCTTGTTACCTAATTTGGGTGCCCTGGTAGCACCTCAGAATAATATAAAACATGATACAGTTTCTCTGAACAAAGCAAAAGTAAGTGGGAAAATGGGAAGGAATGAAAAACAGAAAAGAGGTCTTCATACTTTATCCAATAGTACCCCATTCCTTCAGGAGCTGATAAGCCCATTCAAACTGAGATAATGTGAATTCATCTGTGGGTACAGGAAGGTCAAAGGTCAACTCTTAAGCGGCATCAGTGGGGAAGGTTTGGGATGGGGCAGGTCTCAGACCACTAGCAGCATCTGTGAGGCAGGCCTGCCTTGGATGCAGATTCCTTTCCCCTGGAAACTCTAGTGAGTGGAGACAGAGCCCAACCCTGGCAAGGTGCCCGCACTCATCTCACAGGGTGCCCACGAAGGCAGCGTGGTGTGTGGGGAAAGACTGGGCCAGCCCATTTTGGCCTCACTCAAGTCTGATTAGTGGCCCTAGGAAAATTACTTCTCTCTGAGCCTCATTTTCTTCATCTGAAGCAGTGGTTCTCAACTGGAGATGACCTGGCCCTCCAGGGGACATTTGGTAATGTCTAGAGACTTTTTTTCAATCACACAAGTGGCGAGGGCACGCTACTAGTGAGGGCTTCTAGTGAGTAGAGTCCGGGGGGTTGCTGAGCCATCCTACAACACGCAAAACAACCACAAAAAATTTTCCAGCTCAAAATGGCAAGAGTGCCAAGGTGGAGAAACTCTGCCCTAAATAAAGAGGATGAACCACAGAATCTCTCAGGCCATTCCAAGGCAGACTTGTGATTCCGTGACTACAGAGCCTGCAGGCCCATGCTGGGGCGGCCCCGACAGCCTCCAGCAGGTGGGAGGCCAGAGGGAGACTGGCTGCTGGGTGGGGGTTCTCTATGGCCGCACCTGCTGCATGTGGCCCAGCACATTCTTCCTGCTGTCGAAGATGCCCTTCCCCTCCTCAGAGTACAGGTTGAAGATGAAGTCAGTGGTGTAGTTCTCATTGCACTTCTCGTTCCTGCAGGAGAGATGGAAGCCTGAGCCGGGCGCTGGCCCCTCCCTCCCCCGGCCTTCTCCAAGCTCTGTGGGCTCTGCCCCTCCCAGTTCCGTCTCCTCCCGCGGTCCGGGCTCTCCTGCTCCGTATCCACAGACTCCGCAGGGTGTGCCAGCCAGGGGTGCAGTCTGACCAGGACTGAAGCCTGACTACTGCTCCTCTTCACTCAGAAGCAAACCGGGGATGAGGTACCTTAACACCATGCCCCTCTTCACAGTTGTTTTCATCTTTTGTACCAGATGTTCCACATTCACCTGAAAATGAAACGGAAAATCCTAAACCCAGCTGAGCATGGACACGGCTGAGCAGGCCTCTAGTGGAGGGAGAGGGACATGAGGAGGGCGGGCTGCTGACAGCTCAGGGCTGACCTGCGCCTAATCCCTTTAAGAAGGTCAGTGCAGACAGATAAGTGAAGACCCGGCTGAGATGGGCAGTGCAGGCAGAGGCAACACTGGAGAGAGTGTGGGAACTGTCAGTTTGAAGCCCCTTCCCACCCCCTCCCGATCTCCGTTTCTAGGGGTTTCGGTTCTTCGGCCCTCAGAGAGCCACCCCTGCTTGTGGTGTTGGTTTCTAAACGGGTGGCGTTCGTGTACAGCAGTGCCTCACTGCGGAGAAAACAGCCCATCTAGGCTTTGAGCCGGGCGTGAAGGAGGGAGAGGGTCACCCTCCACTGACGGCTGGGCCCTTGGAGTAGTGAGTTTCCACAGCCTGCCACCCTCCACTCTGTGGCTCCAGTGAACAAAGATCTTAGAAATGAGGATCATAAGGGAATCCCCTCAAAAATGGAGTTAGGGGTCCGTTTGGTAGCAAGGAAAATCTGAAGTAGGGGGAACATGACTTTTTCAATCAGTTAAACCACCTGCTCAAAGTTTAGAAGTTTTATAACCTCACTGAACCTTGCTCATCTGTAATATGGAGATAATCCCTCCCATGCATGGCTGTTGTGAAAATAAAATGCAAAAAGGCACATAAAGGGCTTAGCTGCAGCCACCCTTCAAATGAATGCTCCAACAGGAGCGGCACCACATACAGAATATCACGCCACAGCACGTGCCCGGTGCTCTTCCTAGGACTCCACAGACCATCAGCTCTGTCCTTGCCTTGAGCTCTCACAGCTTAGGTCGCCATGGGGACAGGGGAACCAGTGGGGCAGGGGAGAGCCTCCTAATAAGCTCTGGGTAGCCATCTACCTGCAGGTCTCGAATGGTGAAGGGCTCCTCAAAAATATACGCAGCATCAGCCCCGGCTGCCAGGCCTGCCATGGTGGCCAGGTAGCCACAGTAGCCGCCCATCGTTTCAATGATAAACACACGGCGCTTGGTGCCTGCCGCTGACTGCTTGATGCGGTCACATGTCTGCAAAGACAACACGTCAGAGAAAGACAGGGTCAGGGATGTGACTCTTGTTACTTCTCTGGCCCCACCATCACCCGACTCCGGAGCGATGTCCCCCCCAGGCCAGCAGGG